TTTTTATTTTGGTGACAACTTGCTCGCACCTAATGATTCTGATCTGTTGGTTGAGACGAATAGCATGTCACCTAGTCACTTTGGTTTGAGAATCTTGAAAAATCCTCTTATGTTCTAGGCATGTAGATTCTCCGTGACAAGGATAAGTGCATTTTCTGGTCATCTCAGAGAACCTATATTGTTCTTGTTTCGAACAAGTTCAATATGCATTCTTGTTCTCCTAGTAAGCATTGTTAGTTAAAGTGACAAACTCTCAAAGGTGTAATGTCCTTATGGTGAAGTAGGAGAGATCATATGAAATTGTCCCTTATGCTTAGGTGTTTAGCAGCCTCATGTATGCTCAAGTATGCACACGTCTTATTATTGTGTTTGTTGTTGACGTGCAGATTCGGTACTTGAGTGATTGTTGTTATTATTACTGAATTAACTGGGAATGAAGAACTAGAGAGTTTTGTATCGGCGAACCAACAATTTTGTTGTAGTTAGATCTCGTGACGCCGATTATGTAGGCTGCATAAATGATAAAAGGATGAGCTACTTTGTTGAAAAGTGTCAAATAGACACTCGTAGCATCCTTGACTGTGATACGGAGTATTGGCATATTGTGAGGCTATTTGTGTTATGTGATTGTGGAACCTTGTTTTTGCACTAGGAGTAGTTCACTCCATTTTTGGACCGGTTGAAACTGTGTTGTGAAAGTTCCATAATAGCATATTTCTTTAGAACACAAAGAGCATTGTCTGCTCAAGCATAATGGTAGTGTATTCTATTTTGTGAATAGAAATTGTAAAAGGCCTCATTGTTATTGAAAACAGGCCTATAAACAACATGTTGGCAGTTCCACTAAGGGCTTACCTATTAGGTGTTTTAAGAACACGCATCCCACTCGGGACTGTAAGAAGCCTGTAGTTGTATTGAGTTAGTGGGAGTATACAGCCATTTGTGTGTGACATGTTGTTATTGATAAGGATTGCTTATGCCTCAAATAATACATGCATATTTATGGATCTGTCACTTTATGTGTGATGTTGTGTTGACACATTTTTTAGTTGGCAAAGTGACATGTTAAAAAGAGACATCTGGTTGTTAGTCTCGATCATTGTTTTTTGATCAATATATTAAAGTTGTCGGCATGCTTTGATGAAACTCTAGCGCCTGATTATGTATAATGATTGTATCATATCGATACGTTATTATGCATGATTGTTTTGGGCTTGTGTTTATTATGTGAGATTCTTAGTTGATGCTTATGCTGTGATGAGTGAATGTTTATTGTATGATTCTGTGGTCCAAGTGGGAGACTGTTGAAATATTTTTATGTGGACTTCCATAATCATAATAATTCACTCTGTAATTAATTAAAGCATCTTATGGACAACTGTGTTAATGTGAATTAACCCATGCATGTATGTTAAATATCGGACCATTATAGGATGGACACTTGTTTTATTAACTCGCATGAAGCATATGAACTCTCTCTATCTCATAATATTTGGTCAGCCTATTGGGCCAAATACCCTCTCTGAATGAATATTGGAAAAGGCCCTTAGGCCTATATGGTTTATTTAGGCAGCCACCCTTTATTTGGAGGATGCATGGGGCATTTGTGGGGTGGTGGCCGAACGGTGGAGAGAGAGGGAGAGATAGGGAGGAGTTCAAGAACCTCTTGCCCTTCTTCTTCCGTTTGCAGCTTCTCCACTCACTTCCGGCCGGCCCATTGGCGGATTCCGGCGACCGTGGACGACGCCTTTTGTTGTCCACCGGACTAGAGATATGCCTAAATTCCAAATAAGAATTTTATGGCATTTTTAGATTTTTGGCTAGATTATTGTTTTTGATCTTATTTGGATTATTTAGATTGTGTTTAGATCATTAAAGTCTAGCATCCTTATGTCCTTCAAAAGTTCTATAATTATTTCATGATTTCACACAGCAAGGGTGAAAGTTCATCTTTTGTGGGTTCATTGCTATTTCATTATCAATAGATTTACGAATAAAGCTACTACTAGCCAAATTCGACAAAGAAGAAAGATTCTACTGATAATAATAAGGAAAAAAAAAAAAAAAAAAAAAAAAAAAAAAAAAAAAACCCCCTCAAAAAATGTATACATTATACAAGACAGTCTCGTGGATAAACAAATGCCCTTCAAATGAACCTACATCTGTTAATCAGTTCAGACACAATATGTACATCTCATTCAAGACATCAAAGATTTAGTAGGGGAAAAAAGGCAGTCTCCCACTTTTTGGCTTATATTGTGGATAGTACCTGCGTATTCTTATCGATACTATTGCAAGATTAACTAAAATTTACAAGAAAACTTTAACCGCTTGCATTTGGCGTTGTAATCCTGCTATCCCAATTAATTGCGACAGAATCTGGTGAAAGTGGACCTTTCTTCAGCAAAACAGTTTCATCAGCTGCGCTATCGATCCTCTCTGTGTTATCCGTGCTGTAATCCCCACTTTGTATTGCCATTAGTCCATCCAGCACAGCAACCATACATGGTCTCAAGTCCTTGTCCTGTTGCAGACACTGAAATGCCAATTCCGCTACAGCAGTTATCATTTTCCTCACCCTAGGGTCTGTATCAAACCCGAGACTCGGGTCTACTAGTTCATGCAGTGCATGATTTAGGATCCTGTTCATGGCCATGGTAGACAAGTTTATGTCATGTCTGTGCCTTGTGATGTCAACAGCAGGCAAGGAAGATACAAGCTCCATCAAGACCACACCGAAGCTGAAGACATCGCTTTTGCTGGTGAGCTGATAGCATTGATGATACTCTGGATCAACGTAACCGGGAGTCCCTTGTGGAGCGGTTGAAACGTGAGTGACATGAGTTGGGAAGAGACGAGACAATCCAAAATCTGCTACCTTGACAGAGAAGTTATTGTCCAGGAGAATGTTGGTGGATTTCACATCGCGGTGAATGACATCAGAAGCATGGAGATACTTCAATGCGCTTGCAGTTTCTACAGCAATATTCAATCTGATAGCCCATGGCAGGGCACCAGGTTTTGCTCTTTCTCCGTGAAGATGATCAGCAACAGTTCCATTGGGAATGTACTCGTATACCAGGAGGAGTTCGTGAGAGTGGCGGGATGTACAGCCATAGAGCGAAACCAGATTTTTGTGACGCAGGTGAGCTAAAATCTCAACTTCATTCATGAACTGCTCCACTCTCCTGAAATTGTTTTCATAGAGACGCTTGACCGCAACAACTCGTCCATCTCGGAGTTTCCCTGTATAGTTCATAGAATGTCTCAAATTTTAAACTTTCAATGACTGCGATGCTGTTGAAGTCTCCAAATGTAAGAGACTTATTATTAAAGCCCTTGTTCCTGCAAAGGGTTAACTTGGAAAGTACATTCAAGGATAAAAAGTGCTTGTCCTTACCATAATACACTGTGCCAAATCCTCCATCTCCAAGTTCTTTTGTCGAATCGAAACAACTAGTCGCTTCTACAAGCTCTTCATAGGTGAAGAGATGGACTCCGTGATACGAGCTTCCCTTCTCGACATCCTTCACTGATGAGATGTCAGAAGATATGTCACGAGACAACAAGGATCTCGGAGCACTTTGCTTTCTTTTGCGGCGTTGATAGATATAGAATATAATGGACATCAATAGTATCCCAACAAAACCACCGCCTATACCTGCATATTGTTGAGAGGTATAAGAAGCAGCTATAGATACAGGAAAGAGAAGGGAAGAAGTATCTTCTAGCTGGAAATTAGAAAAACATAGACATAAAGAACAAGAAAGAGTGAAAAGAATTAGTATATTACCTATGCCAGTCTTGAGTTTCCAATCCCTCCCTGCAAAAGAAATCAGAAAAGGCACAACCCTTAGAGCACCAATAACATCAATATGATATTTAAAAGGATATTCGGAAAAATTAGGAAACAATTGCCCAAAAGCGTCCGCAACAAAAATCTCAACTTTTATACTAGAAAACAGAACAGGAAGCATTAGATCTTATTGATTCAAAGATAGCAACAGTTTGATTGTTTCTCATGAATGATACAGCAACTCGGTAATTTTTTTAACAACTTATAGAATTTTTAACTGTTAAATAATTAATACACTCACTCATTTTAGCTATATGTTAGCAAAATCTAATTTCATGGAGCACAGGAACGAAAGCATGCTACAAATAAGGATATTGATTTGTGAAAATTCATTTGGTATTGAAGGAATTGGCTCATATAATGGAAAATGTATTTTATTTGCTTTAAGTTTGTACTTCTGTATAATACTCTAAACTGACTATACAAGTCAATAGAAGATTTTGTTTCAAACAATGATGTCGATGGAGCAAGACAAACAAGGTTAAATGAATCTAGCTGACACATAAAAAAAGTCTATAAGGAAAAATAATTGGATGAGAATCATAATTAAGTAAAAATTAGAAAATCATAATTATGAAACTACCAAAAGATGAAATTGAAAAATCCACAGAATTACCATCATCGCAGGTTTTTTTATGAGGTCGATCATCACAAAAACAAATGAATTCATTAGCATTCAATCCACAACGCCCACCACTCGTCTCACAACTACCACAACTATGTGCATTCCAATTCAAAAGGAATCCCATCTCCAAGATTTCAGTATAATTCATATTCAACAAGCTCTTAAACTCCACACCAGAAACCATATTAGCAGGCACACGAACTAAAGATTCGCACGAGCTAAACGAATAGTTCATGTGCTGCAATGCCTCCACATGAAAAGCAGCAAATGAATGGTGGGTTTCATTGCTAACACAGCTGACTCGATAGGGGAAGATTTTTTCTGAGGGTTGAGAAGTACAATTGTAAAAGAAGGAAAAATTGACGGGATCAGATCTAAAGCTGAATGGAGTTCCATCAAGGCTAAAGTTGTTTTGAGGAACTGAGCATTTCTCATGGTAAACAGCAGCATTGGCCACTAGAAAAGAATGGTTTGAGTAAAATATTTCCTTTATGATATAATCATCATTCGAAATTCTTAGAATCGGGTTTTCATGAGTACAGATGATCTCAAAGTTCGGATATCCACAAAAGGATTCTTGTTGATGAGAAAGCCAGAAAGGATAACTTATTTCCTGTCCATTTCCACAGGTTTGAGGTGCGCAAGCCACGAACTTTTCATCTATAGAAAGAGTTGGTATAGCAAATGTGCTTAAAATGATTACAAGGATGCATATATGGAAAGGCTTATAGAGTTTGAGGATGTGCATTTGGATGGAAGACAAGAAAAAGGAAGAGGGAAACATAGGAGAAGAAATGCATAGACTTGGAAGAAAGAACATAGAAAGGAAAATTGTGTGTGGTAGGTGTAGCATGATAAAGAAGCCTCTTGACTTGGTTTTAGCTTTGTTTTATATTTGAATTTATGATTTAGTTTGAAAAGGAGGTGAGAAAGAAAAAACAAAAGAATGGTTCAAGCAAAAGCAAAGATATAATGAGGTCCAACGTAAGTAGCCTAAGGACCTTAAAAAATATTAGCCACTAGAAAATGATATGTTCATTGACAAGCATCTGGGGTTCTATGGTTTACCTTGACCGACTTCTTATGTTACTTTTGCCGGTCTGTAAGGGTAGAAACTGATCAATCCTTTCGGTGGTTGGAATGAGTTGTCAACAGGCTTATCACATTGATGGACAAAAGACTTTAAAGATTTTTTAACCTACTATATCTAATGGAACTCTCTTTGGCTAAAACTTCCATGATTTGGACTACTTTGAAAGTCTTGGTCATGAAGAAATTTGGACAATTTCTTAAGCAATCAAAGTCTCGCATATTGTGGAAAACTATATCTAATGGTGACATCATAATGATATAAATTTACCATCTATCTCACAAATCTAACTAATATGCAACTTATCCAACGTTAAGGTCCTTCTATGGTAGTGCATATTAATATATGTTCAAAATCACATCAAAATAAAAACATATACTGAACAATCAGTTTTGATACAAACCTAACGGGTGAACTACAGAGACTTATCGACAGTTTAATTTTTTCATATCCTTCGGCATACACACAAAAAAAAAAAAAAAAAAAAAAAAAAAAAAAAAAAAAAAAAAAAAAAAAACCTTCCCATTAGAGAAATGATATACCCTAGTAATATAATTATAAACAAATTATTTTAAAACACAAGTAAATAAATAGCCATTAGAGTAGTCAATGGTTTTGAGATAGTTTACAAAAAAAAAAATAAAAAAAAGTGAATCTTTCCAAAAGACTAGTCGTACAAGGCATGTAAATCAAGGGGTGGTGGAACATGTGGAAAATTGTATTAAGTGGACGACCTTGACTCTTTGTGAACAAGTTAATGGTTGGCTGAACCGAAAGCAGAGAATAAAATAAAGAAAACCTCATTTTCACTTTGGGAAACATCACCATCGTGAAATAACGCGTCATATGACGTTCCTCCTAGCCATATTTACATTACGAGGAAAATTCTAGGATGTAATATTTACTGTTTAAAAAAAATGAAAATAAAAGCTCTCGAAAGGTTATCAGTTAGCAATTCAAAATACAATAATGATCTAGATTTGTTACGAAATGAATAAGAAATATGTCCAGAATCCAAAATACACCCGAATCCCAAATGCGTTTCTACTTTAAAATGGAAATTCATCTTTCACATAAGCCAAAAATATTATTTAAATGAAATAAAAAATATAGAGAATTTGTAGTAAATAGTATATTTCCCAAACTTAGTAGTAAATAGCATATAATTTTAGTTGCTTAGTAAATAGCATATGAATAAAAATTTTCACAAATTACACATTGTTCTTCTGAACTATAAGCCTTATCACAAAATGCCTCCGAACTTTAGTTTTAGATTCTTGTTTTTTTCCTGTGATCTTCCGTTACAAAATTTTTCCCTTTATTAAATTTTTACTTTGTTGTTGTTTTTGACTGTGATGACGGATCCCTAAAATTCCTTAAATCAACTAAATTAAGGAGAAAGCTAGGGTCTGGGCGAATAAAATTATAACTCAAGCTGCGTAATTACACTTTCGGGTGACTGTACGAGGAGGAACTTACAGAGTATAATCATGTACTAAATTGTTCAACAACACTCATTATTTGTGTAATACATGCTATTTTTGTTAAAAATCATCGAATGATAAATTATTTTGTTAATTTTTACATTTCACATAAAATTTAGTCGTTTATTAAATTGTTCAACGGCATAGTTATCTTTGTAAAAAGCCATCTTATGAGAAGGTCATTTTGTTAATTTATGCATTTCACACGACATTTTTTGTCAAAAATTTAACGGATAGGGAAAATTTGCTAGAGTTACTAAAGTTCGAGGTAAAAAAGCTAAAATTAAAGTTTAAAGGCATTTTGTGACAATAGTTCAAGATGAAAAAATGCATTGTCCTAAAAATTTATAGCATATTTTAATACTTTAATATATGGCGTACCATATTCTACCTTTGGAAGAGTTTCAGTGATGATGAGAAAGAGAGGATGAGAGTTTATCGATATGATGAGAGACAGAATGGGAGAAGACGAGAGAGGGTGAATTTCATATGTTGGTAAATGAAGCATTTACAAGGTTAATAATGGATTTACCATGTAAATTATCAATTTATAAGAAAATAGTTTATTGTTTATCAAAGTATCTATTTAACTAGTAAATTCATCATTTACCATATAAATCCTCCACTTACCAAATTGAACATAATTTGCTTGTTGGTAAATGAAACATTTACCATATAAATTTTGCATTTACCAACATCTCCCATTTAAACTCTAAAATTCACACGCATGCATAACCACATTGCGATATCTCTCGTTAGCTTCTCGAGTGATGATGGTGGCACACCGGCAAGGCTAATCTGCTCACGTCGTCATCAATTGCGAGATCGGATCGTCGTTGCTCCGCCCAATTCATCGTCTCAAAGTCCATGAGAGAAGGAGGCCAGAGATAGAGGATGTGAGAGAGAAAGAGCAAGGAGAAAGAGAGGGTGAGGGAGAGAGGAGAGAGAGAAAGAGAGGGCGCGAGAGGGAGGGTAAGAAAGGGAGCGCGAGTAAGATTTTTCCGATGTTTTAATCTCCATTCAGGAAAAATAAAAAATAAATGAGAAAACCGTTACATGTGTGTAGAAAAGAAAATGTCACACTACAAGAAATTTGATGCAATATATATAGTCCAACCTCAGTGAAAAAAGATATCTTTTAATTTAAAACTTAACTTTTCTGATCATTTTAAGGTAAAACATGATTTTTTTTTTTCAAAAATCCTAGTTTTGATATATTTTTTTCTTTCATACACTGGCATGGAAAAAATGTGCATTAGAGAAAAAATGATGATTCAAAAATCCTAGTTTTGATATATTTTTTTCCTTTCATACACTGGCATGGAAAAAATGTGCATTAGAGAAAAAATGATGATCTATCTAATTGTTGGTTTAACTCTGAAGTCTGCGTGGATTAATATTCCTAGCTATTTCATTTGGACCGTTGACAGGTCCAATGGGAAATTGTCCTAAGGAGCTTAGCCACTACTTGACAGCTTGTCCAATTGTTACAAAACTACTTAAGACACGTAAGATTGTGGGTCCTACTTCTGGTCCAGGCTGTCCCGAGAGTGTTTTTCCAGTCTTATCCTTCTGCTGTTGTTTGTCTAATTAAGGTGCTTTTAAAAATCAAAAGTCAAGAAAATTGTATGATCAGGCGCGTCTGGGTTTGTGACCATTCTCTCTGGTCAACGAGACAGTTCACACTTCACACCCAAAACACCGTAGCCAATTTGAATGGAGCAGCTAGGATAGGAGATCATAATGCACTCGACAGTTACACATATTTAAGATCACAAACTAGGATGGGTTCATTTGATTCTGATTAAAGATGAAAGATGCTACCGTTACTATTGTCACTTTCTGTATTTATTGTCCGACGTATATAGAATCTATTAACCTACTATATTATTATTTAAATAAAAAATAAAATAGTGGAATCCACTTCTTGAACAGTTAAGGTAAAAAATAACAAATGTGGTGACAAAAAAAGTGACATTAGCATTTTTAGTATTAATATATAACACATTTTTGTAGTATGAAGACAGAAATTAACATCACGAAGAATAGCTAAAGAGACCTCAGATTGAAGGAATTAGTAGATGTGGTAGATTTGCTTGCAGCACAACTAGTTTCTTTCTCATTTTCTTTTTTTTTTTTCCTTGGGTCTAAGTTATGTAGTTATAAATAGTCAAAACCATAGTGTTTTTTTTTTTTAAATAGCGAAAACCATAGTTTGAAGTATTGAAACTCACTTGTTGGGAATTCATTTACCTAGCTACGCAACTGAAATTGCCCTTCTGTTTCGGCCAAATACAACACACAGAAAACAGATGTATTGGCAAAATGGCAAAAACGCTTTTTCTAACTAGGTAATTAAACTGAATTTCTATTCCTCCTGACTACCAAGTACTGATTGATTCTTAAAGTGAGGTTGTTTTGATTGAAAACAATGAAAAAGAAAAAAGAAAATCAAAGAGGGGAAAAAAAATGCGTACCAGAACTATGGGGACACACATATAAGTACTCTCTTCCGCCAGAGCAATAGCATGTAACCATTCCGTTTGAGTTATTAGACCCGCATCTCCCACTTGACCACTCGCATTCCCTGCAGAGTGGGAATTCCATGTAATTTACGTCAAAACCTTTTATCAAAACGCTATGCACTCCATCAGCTGCAGATCTCTCAATCTCATCGAGGGCAATCCTGAAAACCGGAACTTGAATGACACCGCCTCGACGATCGCGGATCAGCCCCTCTGTTTCCAAATCCTGAAGCTGTGATTCATTACGTACGTAGTAAGAAATCCGGTCGTCGTCCTTGGGACAAGAAAAGTTATTTGGGAAATATTGTCCAAGTGACTCCTCTGGCTTTGTGCAGTTGTAGATTAAAGTGAGGTTTACAACAGTTGGAGGGTAATTGACGGCGACTATATCATCAAGAGTGGTGTTTTTGCTGGTATCTGGTGAACAAGGATTGTCCCAGAGATCCAACCTCGCGAGGGTCATCGTGTTAATTTCTCGGCTGACATTGAGTAGGCGGTAATCTAGGCGTTGGATGTGTATAACAGGGTATTCATTGTTCATGCAACTTAGGTTGAAGCCAGGGTGGCCGCAGATTTCGGGTCTGCCATCTCCCCAGAACGGGAAATAAAGGTTTTTTATGTCGCCGCACTCGTACGGCTGAGTGCACGCCGAGAAGTTCTCGTTTTCTTTGCAGCGAGACGACGGGAAAGTGGTGATCAAGATGAAGGTGGCCGCGAAGAGGGATTTGAAGAAAAACTGTAATTCCATAAGTGAAGGCTAACCTAAGCTCTCATGGAGATATTTGGGTTAACTTTGATCAATGTTGATGAAGAATGGTAGATGAGGAGAACAACAAAATATTTAATATTTGTTTTGACAAATGAAGTGAAAAAGACGTTTGAAGAGTTTGGTTGTCTTTAGAAAAGGATATAATAATAATAATAATAATAATAATAATAATAATGATCAACAAGCACGCAAATTATAAAACTGTTTTGACGAAGACTCGATCGCGTATGTTAGTTGGCGTAATTTCTCGGAATTTTCTATATCAGAAATAGATACAAGAGAGAAAGCCCGAAGTTTGACTTCTATTAAAGAGTTGAATCCAAGGCGGCCTAAACACGTAACCAGACTCATCAAATGGACAAAAACTCATTTCCTCATACCAGTCTCCAATCCCATCAAAATGCTTGACGTCAAAACAAAAAAAAAGTTTGAACAGGTAACAAACAAAATAGTAAGTTCAAACTCTTCCTTTATTCAATCCCAATTTTATATTTTCACTAAATAAATCAAATTTTTTATAATGTATATAACAATATTAGGATT